CTATCTAGTTTACGTTAATCACGTTTCGTGTTAAAAGAACCTCCAAATATTCATACCTAGTAGTTATCAGGCAGTTTTCAAATCATATCACACTCTATCTCCGTATACAATTACATCTAATGATAGCTAAACTAGTAAGTACTAAATGTATCAACTTTTTTACTGGATAACCAGGTATCATCTGAAAAAAAAACATTAAAAAGGACATTTGCACTTTCCCACCGCATTATTAATACCTTGAGAAAAATAAAACTGATGAGTGAAAGGAAAATGTGATTGGTCATGGAATGTGGACAAACAGGTACAGTCTACGGATCATTCATTATTTGATTTCATTTCGGCTTATTGATTTCTGCCGTGAACTAATTAAGTGCAACTGCTTGTAATTGTGTGGAATAAATTATTGTCTGCCGCTTACTCTGATTCTCCTTTCATTTTGGCCTTGATACGACTGACTGGTTTATCGTGATCTAGTCTCTGTCTAGTGCTGCTGTTTGAGCATCCAATACAAGATTATCAAATATATTGAAAGTCCCTGTCATATCAAAAACTCTATATAAGTGTTACATTCTATCAATTATTGCCTTAATATCAGAAGTAAATAGATTTATTCCAAAATAATGTTTACGCTTAACAAAAGTATTGATCATAGAATTTTCCAGGGGTAAAATGAAAATGGAGAAAAAGGTGTCATACTGGCACCCTTGTGTTTACAAATCAGAACTAAGATACCGCTTGATGTATCCTGCGCGAAATTTAAAGTGTAACGATTGATAACTTGTATGTTATGTTATTAACAAAGAAAACATTGTCAATATATGGTTCTTAAAATGTGTTAGGTTCGTCACTAGGTACGATTGAAACTATTACGGGTTCACAGTAGTCGATAAACTAGAACGAGACAATGAACCAGTGTCCAGGTAGGCTAACTTCATCTGAAACGGATAAATAGAAGTCTTGATAAGGGTAGAAAGTATATTCTACAAACACCCAGCAAGCACACAATGAATCCAAGCACTCAAATTACGTTTATTTATACTCCATGGAGACGTCCTCGGTAGAGTCACAAAAATAGCACACTAAAATACACAACAGTCAATCAAAGCCAAGGATTTTCCTTGTGGGAAATGAAATCTCAGTGTCAACTGATCAGCCTATGCTCGCAAACGTGAAATCCAAAATAAAGCATTTATCAAGCGAGTTCTGGGAATCTAACGTCCTTAACAAAATAGTTTAAAAATCAATAGAAATTTCTACTAAAAAGTCGTAAAGTGAATTCGAGTTGATGTTTAAGCTAAATTACACAGCATAATTGTTCTCAAGGCAAATTGTATTTTAAAGCACTTATTACAACTTGATACGCTTTTTCCAGAGTGTTTAACTAAAGCTAGATAATGTCTTCTTCCCTTTCTAACTCTTCATTTAAATTTCAAATATAAGTTTGTTTTTTGTTAATGCAACTTGACTCATAATGTAGTGAACGAGAACACAGGTGGCTCAACCGAAATGTATATAACGATCATTACAGAGTTACTCAGTAAAATTGGAAAACCATATCGTAAATCGTTCATTTGCAAAATATCAGTTCATCATATCGAACTGGACTGTTCCTGTTGCAAAACATCAATCGATTGTCTGACATTTCACTTATTCATGCGTTTCATACAAATTCCATTGTGTTCTCACTCTTTCTTTCTTGATCTTCCCCCATCTTCTGCTGCCAGACATTACGTTGACACTCAAATCATATACTACTTATAAGTAGCTCACACCACAATAGTACACAACGCTAAGCTTGTCTCATTTCTGTGACAGAAACTCTGTGTGGTGATCACGCTAACTTAGAACACTAGCTCAACTGCTCAACTGCAAGTGCGGAAGATTGTATTGTGTAAATTTACACTCTGAGTCAGTTAAAAACGAAAACATTACATTGAACACTCTATTTGCACACCATCTTTGAGTCGTGACTTCCAACGCTCCATCCTTCTTCCATTCCTTTCTGTTGGTACTCCATTTACTTCTTGCTTTTGCACCATTCGCTTTCCGTTTTCCTCTTCTGACCGTGAGACTTTCTGTTTCACGTCCCTTCTTATACTACTTATATCGTTCGTATAAGTAACACGCACCACAGATATACATGTAAACTTGACCTTCTTTTTTCTCTCTAACTAAACGGAATAATTCCTATATCTAAAAGTTGACTGACTATTCAGTTCAAAGCGGCTAATCTAGTGTTTCTTTTTTATAGCTTTGAGCTACTAATTACTTTATAACTAAATAAAGTTTCCTGATTGGTTAATAGGCCGCTTAAAATTGTCAGTATATGATACTTTTACTTCAGTCTTTTATTTGATATATATATATATATATATATATATATATATATATATATATATATATTTGAATAATACATGAGCTGAATAATAATCATTATTATTATTATTTATTGGAAAAAAAGAATAGTTTAAGAGAAAAAATAGTTATTAGTTCTAATTGTATTAAAGGCGACTTGATAGTTTAAAGATTTATTATAACTAACTTTCCCTAGATGATGATAATAGAGAAATAAAATTTATTGATTAATCATATCCAGTCAAGTATAATTATACATATGTTGTGAGATAGTTATTCTCATTAACTAAATTATGCAAGGATGAATGTGAAATGCAATGAATTGATATCGACTAAGGCAGTGTAGAAACTTCATCGATAGCGTGGATAGGATAAAACACTATGGAGGCTTCTTCGGCACTATGGTGTGCCTGAGAATATAATTAACATTATACGGAATTCTTATGATGGTATAAACTGCCAAATCGTGATGGGAGGACAGCTGACAGACTCTTTCGAATTGAAGACCGGTGTCAGGTAAGGTTGCTTACTCTCACCCTTTCTCTTTCTCCTTCTGGTGATCGACTGGATTATGAAGACATCAACATCTGGAGGGAGGCATGGTATCAACTGGACAGTTAGGACACAGCTGGACGATCTGGACTTCGCAGATGACTTGGCTCTTCTGTCGCACATGCAACAACAAATACAAGAGAAGACGACCAGTGTAGCAGCAGCCTCAGCGCCAGCAGGTCTCAACATACATAAAGGAAGAAGCAAGATTCTACGATACAACACAACATGCACCAACCAAATCACTCTTAATAGAGATGCCTTGGAGGACGTCAACACCTTTACATATCTTGGCAGCATCATTGACGAGAAAGGTGGATCGGATGCAGATGTGAGGGCGCGGATCGGCAAAGCAAGGGCTGCATTTCTACAGTTGAAAAATATCTGTAACTCCAAACAACTTTCAACCAAAACCAAAATCACGATTTTCAATACAAATGTCAAGACAGTTCTAATGTATGGAGCGGAAACTTGGAGAACTACCAAAGCCATCATCCATAAGATACAAGTGTTTATTAACAGTTGTCTACGAAAAGACTTCAGATTCGTTGACCAGACAACATCTGCAACAACGAACTATGGGAGGGAACAAACCAGATTCCAGTGGATGAGGAAATCAGGAATAAGTGGTGGAAGTGGATAGGACACACACTACGAAAAGCACCGAACTGCGCCACGAGACAAGCCCTCACATGGAACCCTCAGAGTAAAAGGAAAAGAGGAAGGCCAAGTGACACATTGTGTCGAGAAATAGAGAAAGACATAAGAAGACTGAACAAACATTGGACAGAACTGGAGTGGGAAGCCCAGGACAGAGTTGGTTGGAGAAAACTGGTGGGCGGCCTATGTTCCTTTGGGGGTAACAGGCGTAAGTAAGTCGTTGAGAGATTAAGCGTTCATTCATGAAACCGAAGATCATGGATTCGATTTCCAGATGTACCGTTATAGATGAGCATTGATGAGGAGCCCTATATACCAGCAGGAAGTGGCTATCTTATACTTTCACGTTCTTACTATTGATCCAACTTGTATCAGTTCATGATCTTAACAATGGAAATTATTGATCATATGTAATAGAAAGAAACAAGGATCATTGATGGTCGCTTTGATTCCTTATTGTTACCACTAATGAATAATAAATAATCTAATAAGTGTGATATTACAATATCTTGTTCAAATGTTTGGACGACTTATTTCTCTCTAGTAAATATTGACATTAACCTAACTATTTTAGATTTGTTTGAACTGTCATGTTATAAATGATAATTGTATGTGTTACAAATTGTCTTGATGTTAAATACTAGAAAAGTCACACAGAAACATTACATTTCTCGACATATATTTCTTTTTTATCGATAAATCACAAGTATAGGTCACTTCTACATGGATGGTCAGTCAACTGAGGTCGGTCGAAGTCATTAACTTATGATTTATACCTAAGCTGACTTATACTATCATAACAACCAGCTGAATCAGTTGTCTTAATGACTGACTATAACGAACAATCATATTAGAACAACAGTATGTACTTAGTAAGAGCAGACTAAAATAGTAAATCTGTAACGTGGTGGTGTTTTGTTCTCTGAGCTGGATATTTTGGTTGTGGAGCTTTCATAGTTCTTCTGCTGAACAACATCATCAGTACAAACTTCAGATAGAAGAAGTGAAGCATTCGAATTTCTCCACGTTTAACATGTAGCTTGTTCTGGTAACCTCGATCTTGATTGGTTGCTGTTGATCAAAAGGGGAATCCAATCAAAACAAAGATGCAAACAACGACAGGTTTAAGGTCAACATCAACCAATCAGGATTGAGGTTAGGAGAGCAAACTACAGGTCACACTTGGAGAAATTAGAATGCTTCACTTCTTCTATCTGAAGTTTGTGCTCATGATGTTGTGTTCAGCAGAAGAACAATGAAAGCTCCACAACCAAAAAAACATCCAGCTCAAAGAACAAAACACCACCACAATCTTCCACCTGAGCTACAAATTTTCTCTACCATCTCAACATCTATAACGATTTAAACACCTTATACAGGAAGGATGTAAAAAGATAGGAGATTC